CCAGAATTCTGGGAGCACTATACTATTTTCTATTTAAATAAAAAAATTAAAATTGTAGAAATAACTTTCATAATCTGTCTATGAAACTTGAATTGTATGCGCCATCTAAACAACTTTGGACCAATTTTTATTTGAAAATGCAATTTTACAACGAAATTTAAATGTATCGGGTTTCAACTGAAAAAGTCATCAATTTTGGTGTTGCTTTTTTGATAGAAGAAAACGTGGCGAAAAACGCATGTGTTTTATTAATCCATATTGTTGTGTGTAACTGATATTTCATCGTTGTCACCTGTCATCGATTAAATTTTAACTTTATATTAGACATACTTCATAACGTTTATAAACAATTAAGGGTAACGCGAACTTGAACTTCTGTTGAACACCTCATTGTGAGAGAAAGGACCTTGAAAATTATCATCAGTTAAATTAATATCACAATGGACTAAAAATGGGAGGTGTATTTTATGCTTATTTTATTTTGCAAGAAGTGTCATTTTCTTACATCAGAATTATTTTATCACAATTTGAATGTGAACATTTGTTCTCGAATTATTATTTCCAATTTGACAGTATTTAATAACTTGTAATCTTGATGAACTCATTTTAATTTTATCATTAATTAGAAATAATGTTTAATTTAACCTCATGTAAATTCTTGTTCGAAACTGTTGATAAAATGTGGGAGAATTTAATTTTGCTTGTTTCCGTTCTTGTAATTATAATACTCATTTAGTTAACGTCAAAATTCGGGAGATTTTAACCCTAACCGAAATAAACGCACACTCAAATTCAAAACTATTTTCTCTTTGTCGTTTTCATGTGAATATTTATCTGCTATCCCTACTTTCCAGTCCTGGTGAATCAGGCTGTCTAGGATGGAAGTACACCTCAGGAATGCGACTGTCTAAAATCCATAGCGCGTGTTGTGGTTGTAGCAAGGGCGAACAGACGTTCTCGAGGAGACGCCCTTCGCGCCGCATCGCTATACGACTATTAATTTTTCGCTGTATTTTCAACATACAAAAAAAAAATAGTACAAGTGTTTCACATTTTAATTAAAGCACAATTTTGTCTGGAGTTAGTTTGTCTTGACAAACTTTTAATCATATATTTTAGTCTACAGAGACATATTATCTAAATCTAATAAAAAAGAGAAACTTTAACTCACCTCTAACACGGGATATCTGAGACAAAAAATATACATTATTTACACTATCTGCTACCACTATCAAGACATATATTTACAAATAATTAGTGTCACAGTTGGTTATCGTTTACCTAAAATCACTAGTTATCGTGTAACCAATTTGTCACTAAACATAGCTTTTTTAAATTTAAGTAATAAAAGGTACCGCTTGCGATATAAATATTTGGAATATTATATTAGTTACAAATCACACAAAAACTATGATCTCACAGCCATAAAAATGGTTATATAATAGCGCGTTTGCGCAAAACAGTTTCTTAAAAAGTTTTCCTTATGCTTACACTTATAATTTATAATTATAGTTTTAACTATAATTGTAACAGTTATGCTGACGGCTTAGGACCTTACATTGGCAAGCAGAACTGACTTTCTGTCACGTAAATTTTGCACAAGAATAATTTAGAAATTTTGACGACTTGTGGCAATGTAGAAGATGTTCAGAACTACTTAGTGCATCAGTTAATACAAAAGGAGTTTCTTTTTCAGTTGCGACATAATTAGAGTTCTAAATGACACTGATTGACATTGTAGAAAAATTCTATTGTTGTCAATATAAGATGTAACGATTATGAGTGTTATAATTATAAGACATAGTTATAAGCATAAGAAAAAATTTATAAGAAAAAGTTTTGCGCAAACACGCTAATTTAAAATACGTTTATAATAGGCGACATGTAGTTACAGACAGAATTTTAATTTATTAAAAAATATAAGCTTGTTTTCAAATTGTTACTATAACAACGCACATTGTACTTCCTTGGTTTGTTTAAAAATTTCAATGGCAATTCTAAACAACAAAATTGTGCTGAAAGATATTTATAAAAAAAATGTAATAACAGAGATCCTTAGAAACGTGGGATGAACAAAATAATTAAATCCTGAAACTTGAATGAATGTGGTCGTTCTTTAGAACTCTTGCAAGTAAATTGTTTCTTTTTTGTCAGTTGCTACAAACAGAACACGTTTAAATTACAAAGGAAACACGAATCTTTATTATTTCAGTATTTGGAGTGATTCACGTGAAAAAACCGACACCGCATTTACATAACTCACGAAAAAGATAATTGCTTAAAAAATTTAATTTCGCACACACATCAAAAGGTGTAACCTATAATGAGAATAACATAGAAATTATAGCATTTTAAAATAATCCAACAAATATATTCAGTTCGGACTTTGTAGTACATATAAATATGAAGACACATCTGTTTTCAAAGCTGTTATGTTGATTGCGTCCTGAATCCTTCGTATGTCGCTAAATTCTATTTGTGGTAATAATAATGTACACTGTCATCACGCAAGTAATTACAGGACATGACTTATTAAAGCCGCATGCAATTTTAATATAACTGGTCTTCAAAAATTACTACTAATTTAAACAAACATAATGAAGCTCTGGACCACAAACATCTCAGATGTGGCCAAAGATGCCCTTGGAGGCAAAATTTTCAGTAGTCGCGAACCCCAATTAAATTCGGTTCGCTCCTTTCGTGAAAAATTTTATTGTCTCATTAATCACGTAATATTTTAATAGGCGATTTTAATTAAGTAATTACCGGTTCTTTTCGGTACGCAGAAGAAAGAAATATTTAAAATCAAGCGTCAACCCAAAATAAATTACAATCAAAATTCCATTAACCGAGTAAACAAATTCTACGAAATGAAATTAAGTATAAATTGGATCAAAACCGAGAGATCTTAAAATCGGGACATTCGTTCCGCTTAATTAAAATGTATCGGTAGTTCTGTGGATTTATCGAAGAACCACGGCCCATTGCGGTGTTGTGTCTGCTTGCGAGACGACCTTATCAAGTTTAGATTTGATAACTTCCCTCCCCTGAAGCCATAAAGACATTAAAAAGCCGACAAAGTCCGCGTGAGATATGCCCCCTGTTTCTAACATCGCCGAGGGGCCCAGATTAGACTGGCTGAAAACATGAAAAAAATGTTTCCACTGGTAATCTATGAGCCTCAGCAGGTGTTTTTCACCACGAAGGTCCTCACACCCGCATAAAATACAGGCCGAGGCACTGTGAAATGGAACATTCGGGTCACTTTTGACACAAGATTTACTTTTCAAATTCGGATGTAAATCAAAATAATAAGCAGGTGTATGTACAATATGTAAAATAAGAATGGAATGGTACTGGTGGTTTTGTGTGAATATTCAAAACTGCGGCATGAGTGTGCTATTTTTGGAATGATTAATTACAGTGGGATTAATTAATTAGTTGTGATTGATTATACTTAACATCAATTAATTAGCAAATTAAGTGTAGCAGACAATTGCATGGGAGCAAGTGAAGGTGGCGTTCACGTGCAGTAATTATTTAAATTTAATTTGTTGTATTTATTAACTTGATTAATTTTTGCAGTGACACTTTTTTACGTTTCCCTCTTTCCCATCATAGACTTCTATATACTGAGACAATTAATAAATTTTAATAAGGCATAATTAATCGTTTGAATAATAATTGATTGCTGCCTCATTATCATTTAGATTTATAATCGAACTGTGACAACCCACAGTAACACATAAAAGAAACCATGTTCTAATAATCGTAGCATTTTGTGTGGTATGTTTTATTTTTTTATGGAATTGTGTGTTGTTTCATTTAGAGATTTTTCAACATTTAGTAGGCAAAGAAAATTAAATGAAAACTCGTATGCTCGAAGTAGTTTTTCAGTGGACTTTAAAAAAAATTCTGGAACCAATATTGAATTTTATTAATCTAAAGTTCACTAACAGAAATGTTTGGTATTCTGAAATTTTAAAATTGATTTGCTTGTTTATCCCACATATTACTTAAGTATCTTTGCTGGAACATTGAATGCTAACCGCATATTATTTCCATTCACGGCTGTACTTAAGCATTTTACCATCTACATGTTATTCTTAATATACGACAACACTCGGTCTAGTAGTTTCGAAGATTATCTGTCCAATAAAAATCGACAGAGACACCAGACAGACAAACAGCAGACAAAAGATAAAGAGACGATAAACAGATGAGAGCCGGACGAGCGCTAGATGGAAACGGGAGACCACTTTTTTCGTACTCTTGGCGTCATGAAACGTCGAGAAAACATGACAGTAGTTTACGCTTGCCCATACGCTCGTGAAATACAAAGCGAATGCGTGCAGCCTTATGTTAAGTTGTGCAAATTAGACTTGATGCGGAGAAATGACGGTCGTTACAAATTCAGTGGAAATTTAAATTACTGTTAAAGTAATTATTGCTTTTAAAATGACTCTATTATTAAATAGTTCTTTAAAAGTCTGTTATGGTGAATGCTAGTGGTAGTGATAATTTTCGGTAAAAATTGGTACATAATTTAAGATTTTATTTTTCGCCGTTTTTATAGATGTTTTCGGAAAAATAAAACTAATAAAACATTAGGTCACGCAACCCAAAATACACCCTTCAAGTTCAAGTTACGCAACACGTTTCACTGTTGTCGTAAGCGGTATGAGTAACTTGAGCAGAAATTTAAAAATCACCTGATATGTGTTAAAAAATGTGTTTTGAGATGCAGCGTTATTTTCGCTTTAGTAAGACGTTTTTGTTTTTTAGAACTGTTTGTTAAAATTCGGCATGCAAATTATATGTTACACAACTAAAAATTAATTGATGACGTTTTCAATATTTGGTCGGAAATGATCCTGCCTGGTGTATTTAAATCAAACACCCTCTAAATTTTTCAGCCAACTAAACCCTCCGCGCCCGCATCCTATCCCCACTACCGCGCTTCCCTCTCCACCGTTAGTCGAGTGGAAGGGGAGCCCGCATCGGGTATATATATCGCAGCTCGTCGCCACGTATTCAGTTTATCCTCTGCTTGCACGATAAAGACTTCCGAGATGTATACGATTTTGCCTTTCGTCCGCGCTGCTGAATCTGCCCTGCCAGATTTACCAGTAGAGCTCTGGGCCACCATTTTGAGGTAAGTCATATTTTTATTTTTGTTATTATATTTGTACTAATATTTTGTTTGTTACAGATGTTTGGACCCATCTTCGCTTTTGGCTGCCACCAGATCCAATGACCTATGGGAACGCGTCACCCAAGGAGATCCAGTCTTGAGGAAGACAATCAAGGACCAGCTGGCGTTGGAAAAGCGAAGACGACGGGAGGAGATGCTGAATCCCAAACTGTTGCTCTCCATTACCAGAGAAGGATCCGGAAGGCTGTTTGGATCCAACGGCAACAAAGTTGTTCGGAGACAGTCTTCACTTCAAGGACCAGTTAACATCCAAGGAAAGAGGAAACGTCGCCAGAATAAAGACGTTGGACCTCTTTGTAAAAAAATAATTCAGAGCAATGAACATTGTAAAATAATAAGATGTTAATAAAATTATTGTAAAATTTTTATTTATTTTATTTTAACTCAACGTATAATCAACTCAATTAGCTGCAAATAATTTTGCAAGGAATAGCGTAAAATCTTCAGTAGAATGGAAACTTAAGATCACTGAGCAAGAATAGAAGAATGAGGGACAGTTTTTATTAGAATTCTGTCTTTTAAAGAAAGAAAGTACACACAGAAGTATCACTTTCTTTACCTGGCTAATAAAAATCGACACAGACGACAGACAGAAGACAAAGGGGCGACAAACAAGTGACCGCTAGATGGAAATGGGAGACCACTTTTTTCGTACACTTGGCGTCATGAAACGTTGAGAAACCATGACAATAGCTTACGCATACGCTCGTGAAGTACAAAACGATTGCGTACAGTCTTATGTTAAGTTGTGCAAATTAGAGTTGATGCGGAGAAATGACGGTCGTTACAAATTCAGTGGAAATTTAAATTATTGCTTTTAAAATGACTCTACTATTAAAGAGTTCTTTAAAAGTCTGTTATGGTGAATGCTGGTAGTGTTAATTTGCATACAAGTATGTGTAAAAAAATTTTTCTTCAAATTTTAATTAACAATATACTGAAATGTTGGTTTCGTGTAAAAATAGGTACATAATTTAATATTTTATTTTTCGCCGTTTTTATAGATGTTTTCGGAAAAATAAAACCAATAAAACATTAGGTCACGCAAACCAAAATACATCCTTCAAGTTCAAGTTACACAACACGTTTCACTGTTGACGTAAGCGTCATGAGCAACTAGAGCAGAAATTTAAAAATCACCTGATATGTGTTAAAAATTGTGTTTTGAGATGCAGCGTTACTTTCGCTTTAGTAAAATGTTTTTGTTTTTTAGAACTGTTTGTTAAAATTTGACATGCAAATTATATGTTACGCAGTTAAAAATTTATTGATGACGTTTTCAATATTTTGGTCGGAAATGATCCTGACTGGTGTCTTTAAATCAAACACACCCTAAATTTTTCACTTTTGAATGCGCAAGAAAAAAATACATTAAAAAACGCAAGTCAATTAAAGCCACCGCGCCCGCACCCTATCCCCACTACCGCACTTCCCTCTCCACCGTTAGTCGAGTGGAAGGGGACCCCGTATCGGGTATATATACCGCAGCTCGTCGCCACCTATTCAGTTTATCCTCTGCTTGCACGATAAAGACTTCCGAGATGTATAGAATTTTGCCTTTCGTCTGCGCTGCTGAATCTGTCCTGCCAGATTTACCAGTAGAGCTCTGGGCCACCATTTTGAGGTAAGTCATATTTTTATTTTTGTTATTATATTTGTACTAATATTTTGTTCGTTTCAGATGTTTGGACCCATCTTCGCTTTTGGCTGCCACCAGATCCAATGATCTATGGGAACGCGTCACCCAAGGAGATCCAACCTTGAGGAAGACAATCAAGGACCATTTGGCGTTGGAAAAGCGAAGACGACGAGAGGAGATGCTGAATCCCAGACTGTTGCTCTCCGTAACCAGAGAAGGATCCGGAAGACTGTTTGGATCCAACGCCACCAAAGTTCTTCGGAAACAGTCTTCAGTTCAAAAACCAGTTAACATCCAAGGAAAGAGGAAACGTCGCCAGAATAAAGACGCCGGACCTCTTCGCAAAAAAATAATTCAAAGCAATGAACATTGTAAAATAATAAGATGTTAATAAAATTATTGTAAAATTTTTATTTATTTTATTTTAACTCAACGTATAATCAACTCAATTAGCTGCAAATAATTTTGCAAGGAATAGTGTAAAATCTTCAGTAGAATGGAAACTTAAGATCACTGAGCAAGAATAGAAGAATGAGGGACAGTTTTTATTAGAATTCTGTCTTTTAAAGAAAGAAAGTACACACAGAAGTATCACTTTCTTTACCTGGCTAATAAAAATCGACACAGACGACAGACAGAAGACAAAGGGGCGACAAACAGATGACCGCTAGATGGAAATGGGAGACCACTTTTTTCGTACACTTGGCGTCATGAAACGTTGAGAAACCATGACAATAGCTTACGCATACGCTCGTGAAGTACAAAACGATTGCGTACAGTCTTATGTTAAGTTGTGCTGATTAAAGTTGATGCGGAGAAATGACGGTCGTTACAAATTCAGTGGAAATTTAAATTATTGCTTTTAAAATGACTCTACTATTAAAGAGTTCTTTAAAAGTCTGTTATGGTGAATGCTGGTAGTGTTAATTTGCATACAAGTATGTGTAAAAAAAATTTTCTTGAAATTTTAATTAACAATATACTGAAATGTTGGTTTCGTGTAAAAATAGGTACATAATTTAATATTTTATTTTTCGCCGTTTTTATAGATGTTTTCGGAAAAATAAAACCAATAAAACATTAGGTCACGCAAACCAAAATACACCCTTCAAGTTCAAGTTGCACAACACGTTTCACTGTTGACGTAAGCGTCATGAGCAACTAGAGCAAAAATTTAAAAATCACCTGATATGTGTTAAAAACTGTGTTTTGAGATGCAGCGTTACTTTCGCTTTAGTAAAATGTTTTTGTTTGTTAGAACTGTTTGTTAAAATTTGACATGCAAATTATGTGTTACGCAGTTAAAAATTTATTGATGACGTTTTCAATATTTTGGTCGGAAATGATTCTGACTGGTGTCTTTAAATCAAACACCCTCTAAATTTCTCACTTTTGAATGCGCAAGAAAAAAATACATTAAAAAACGCAAGTCAATTAAAGCCACCGCGCCCGCACCCTATCCCCACTACCGCACTTCCCTCTCCACCGTTAGTCGAGTGGAAGGGGACCCCGTATCGGGTATATATACCGCAGCTCGTCGCCACCTATTCAGTTTATCCTCTGCTTGCACGATAAAGACTTCCGAGATGTATAGAATTTTGCCTTTCGTCTGCGCTGCTGAATCTGTCTTGCCAGATTTACCAGTAGAGCTCTGGGCCACCATCTTAAGGTAAGTCATATTTTTATTTTTGTTATTATATTTGTACTAATATTTTGTTTGTTTCAGATGCTTGGACCCATCTTCGCTTTTGGCTGCCGTCAGATCCAATGACCTGTGGGACCGCGTCACCCAAGGAGTTCCAGTCTTGAGGAGGACAATCAAGGATCAGCTGGCGTTGGAAAAGCAAAGACGACGAGAGGAGATGCTGAATCCCAGACTGTTGCTCTCCATAACCAGAGAAGGATCCGGAAGGCTGTTTGGATCCAACGGCAACAAAGTTGTTCGGAGACAGTCTTCAGTTCAGGGACCAGTTAACATCCAAAGAAAGAGGAAACGTCGCCAGAATAAAGACGTTGGACCTCTTTGTAAAAAAATAATTCAGAGCAATGAACATTGTAAAATAATAAGGTGTTGATAAAAACTGTTGTATAATTTTTGTTTATTTTATTTTATTAAAAAAATAATATCAAAATCTTCAGTAGAATGAAAACTTAAGATCGGTGAGTGAGAATAGAAGAATGAGGGACAGCATTTAATGACAATTCTGTCTCTTAAAGAAAGAAACACACAGAAGTTTTACTTTCCTTGACGATTTTTTTATGCATGGGATATACAATACATACAGTAGATTCTGCAAGGGGGTAAAAATTTTCACCACGTTATCGAGGAAATTTGTCTTTTCTCATCAGTAGTTATTTCATCACATAAAACTTGCAGGAACTTAATGTTTAATTTCTGTTCACGAGTCATCCATTTAGGTGTAGTGGATTATTTAGAATAATCTTTCCGTGTGTACTAAGCACTTTTTTTGAGGGTTTATCTTGGATTAAAATATTCGCTCTCGGCATATTAAATTTCAAATATTTAAGAATTCTCAACTTTGAAATAAATAGTCCAACCTTTTCAGTTTTACACTTAGAATAAACAAATGTAATTTACCCTCCACCTTAAAAACCCATTTGCTGAAAATATTCCCTTTGGTGTTTCCCACAGAGATGGCAATTTTCTTCCAGTGATTTAATTTCGTTTTTAAATAACATTCATTTTCGTACTAAGCCAATGGATATTTGTATAGTTTTAAAGTTCCTTATCATTTGGTGGAATATACATATATATATTTCCAAAGCAACATTTTTCAGCTGGAAAATTCTCAAAATGTATTTATTCTAGCGTTGACGAAGTTCCTAGTTGTCTCTTAAAAGAAAGTGTTTCAATATTCACAACACCATTTCTGCACATTCTCAACTTAGTTCTAAACATTTCAACAGACAGTTGGAAGAAATGACTTGTTGCATCCCATTCATAGACTTGGTCATTCGGCGCTCCACGGAGAGCAAATCTTGGACCTCTACTATTTTAATTATGTATCAGTGATACACTGAGAATTATAAGGTGTCAGAAGCGGTTTCTTTTTTGAGCATTAAAAAACCTTTAACTAGAGGGTTTGTTTGTATCGTCCGTTATATTCCTTGATCCCCAAAGTATAGTACAATATATTATATTAAACAAACTCTTCAATATTTCAACGTTTGATTACAAATAAATTATTGTTTCAACTATTGTGTTGAAAACTGATATAAGATGTTTAGATTTATGTACGGAAATATAAGGATTCATTAATGTTAAAACACTTAGGGCCGGTTTATAGTAGATGAATTAAACATTTAACTTGTATTAAAATTTAACATGCGATTAACCCGTCGAACTGACTATTTGATTGGTTGAATTTGACCCCGTGATCGATTAATTGCATGATTAAATTAATGGAGTGATTAAGTACCTCTGCAAATCGAGTCTTAATGTATTAGATTTTTTCGTAATCAGAACTTGTCTTGAATATGTTGCACTCATTTATATCTGTAATCTTATAGATAAATCTTATTTACCAAACTGAGAAAGAAAATTAAAAAAAAATTACTTTTAAACAGCTTTAAACATTTACGCTGGCATTTATCAATTTTCTCTTTCTGGGAGAAATCTTGTACTAAACACGAGAACGAATGTTATTCCTTAAGGATACTGAAGCTTTAAGTCACAGCATTAGATCACAAATGTGAAGTTTACG